GAGAAACTAGAGGGAGAGAAAACAAAACTAGTTAGTGGGGCAGGTGGAGAACTGCAAGACAGTGTGGAGAATGAGAAAAAGAAAGAAATTTTACCAGAGGCCAAAACAGAAACCATCTGTGATAAGAAAGAATCTGTGGAGGAGAAGGTAGAAGAAAAGGTTAAGGAAGAAGAGAAACATGATTTGAAAGTGGAAGAGAAAGATGAAGCAAAATTACAGAAAGAAAAAATTGAAAAAACTGAAGAAAAGCCACAGGATAAAGAAGGAAAATATTCATCTGAAAGTAAAGTAAAAGAAACTTTACAGGAAGAGCAAGTAAAAGAAAGGTTGCAGAAAGACAAAACTAAAGAAAAGGTGGGAGAAGAACTAACAGAGAAGTCAAAAGATTTGCCAAAGGAAGAAAAGGAAGTAGTATTGAAGGAGAATATCAAGAGAGAGGACACAAAAGGAATCCTTACAAGAGGAAAAGACAAAGGAAATCTTAAAAGAAGAGAAGGCTAAAGAGATCTTAAAAGAAGAGAAGACAAAGGAAACTTTGGAAGAGGAAAAAACAAAGGAAACATTACAAGTGGAAAAGAAAATAGAGACACCAAAAGAGAAGGTAGATGAGTCTGTACAAGAAGAGAAGCCAAAGGAGGCATTCAAAGCTGTGAAAACAGATGAAAAATTGCCCAAGGAAAAATCAGCAGACTTGGCTAGTGCAAAATTGGATGCTGAAAAGGGAAAGGTTGACATAAAAGACGAAAAGGTTGTAGCTGTTGAAGAAAGTAAATCATCAGAAAGGCAAGTAGCCAAGAAAGAAAATATTACAGATAAGGCTGAAAAGAACATTAAAAAGGAAGAAGTTGATAACAGACTCTCAAAGGCTGAGGAGACTGAAACACAAAAGAAAGACAGTCTACCTCATACTCAGAAGGAGACAGTTCATTTGGAAACAAAACCAATGGCAAAGTCAGGGGAGCAAGACAAGAAAACTGAAGGAGAACATGTAAACAAAACAGAAAGAGAACCAGTAAGGAAAACAGAAGGAGAACCAGTAAGGAAAACAGAAGGAGAACCAGTAAGGAAAACAGAAGGAGAACCAGTAAGGAAAACAGAAGGAGAGCAAGAAAAAAAACAGAAAGAGACCAGTAAAGAAACAGAAGAAAAAGAGGAGAAATTAGAAGGAGAACCAGTAAAGAAAAACAGAAGAACAAGGAAAGAAATTGGAAGGAGAACCAGTAAAGAAACAGAAGGAGAACAAGAAAAGAAAACAGGTGAACCAGTAAAGAAAGTAGAAGGAGAACAGGAAAAGAAAATAGAAGCAGAACAAGAAAAGAAAATAGGAGAACAGGAAAAGAAAACTGAAAGAGAGCAAGAAAAGAAAACTGAAGAACAAGAAAAGGAAATGGAAAGAGAACAAGAAAAGAAAACAGAAGAAAAGGCACCTCTACCAGTGCCTGTTAAACCTGAAGTTAGTGTCTCCTCACTTTGTGAAGATATAAAAGCAAAGAAATACAAATTGGAGAAAGAGAAAAATCTTCAAGACGAAGAGAGAGACAGAGGAAAGTTTGGGTTCAGTGAAAAGTTTGAGGTTAAGAAGAAAGAGAGTGTGTGGGACAAGTTGAACAAAATGAAGGAAACATCAAGAAGGAAGTGCCTGAGAGCAAAGATCTGATTGGTGGCTATAAGCCCAGTGTGGCAAAACCTGGATCTGATGTGCAGAAGGATAAGAGGTCAGAGGCCATGAAAGAGGAGAAGGAGAGTTCTGAAATGGCCAAACCGAACACAGACAAATCCTCAATCAAGGTTAGTGAATCTTTACCAAAGCTTGAAGGTAAGCCAGCAACTACTTCAAGTGGTGAGAAATTGACTGAAGGACTCAAAGGTACAATGCAGGAGTCCCAGAAGCCATCTGGTGTAAGTACCATTGTCAGTCCTTCAACTGTGCTATTAAACACTCCCTCCAGTACCTTACAAGCTGATAATACTATTACTGCATCCTTGAAAAAACCACTAGCTGTTTCTCCAACAAGGAATGAAAGTACTCATGAGCCTCCACAGAAGAAATTAAAAGTGGAGATATTAAACCTCTTGAATCTCAGAAAAGTCCTCCCATTGAGGAGCACAAAAACATAACTCAGATCTGTGAATCAGTGGTAAAGGGGGACAACTTTTAAATAAATCAGATTCTGCACCAAGCAGTACACAGTCTGAGGTTAAGCTTAGTATGAAATCAGAAACAACTGGAAGTAACTTTGCTTCTAAAGAAGATAAACAAATACCTTTTGAAAAGGATTCTGATAAAACAAAAAATGCTTCTGAGCTATTAAAAAAGTGAAAGTCTAGTTGTAAATACAAAGAAGCTCATTCTGATACAGACAAAAGTCTGTGCAAGCCAGTTCAAACTACGAATTCTGAAAGTGCAAAAGTAGATCAGGAAAAGGTAGATACAAATATCCAAGTGCAAGTAACACATCACATTTGAAAGATGAAACTAAGAGAAGCAATGAAGAAGTTAGTAAGTGCGTACCAGTTCCAGAGGAAAGTAAAAGTGAAAGGCAGAAAGATTTAGCTGCAGAAGAAAAAAATGGAAGTGGAGACATCTACTTCAGACAAAGAAAAAAATACCACAAATGTATCTTCTGAGACTGACACAGGTGCTTTACCAGTAAAGGATGAAAAAATGGAGGTGGAATCATCAAGTGAGCCTAAACCTTGTGAACCACCAGACAAAACTGCAGTTCATGATGAAAAGAAATCAACACATGAAGACTCAAAGATGGAAGTTGATGAGGCAGTCCCGGAGGAGCAGCCATCACAGAAAGACTCAGCTAGTGATGCAAAAATGGATGTTGATAAGAAACCAAGTGATTCGACAGACAAAAACAGTGCAAAACCCATAGGACCAGAACCTGAAGTAGGGGAAGCAATCACAGAACCTGTCATGTGGTGAAGGGGGATGGTGAAGGTGCTGCTTGTGAGGCAGGAAACCCACTGCTGGACAGTGATATTGAATGTCACACAGACTCTTCAAAGCCTTGGTGGGAGTGTTTTAGTAGAAGTGATAGTTCAGGTGATAGTGTAGGGGAAGCTGTAACAGAAGAAATTATGTATTTCTGGGGAGAGGGCAATGGTGCTGATTGTGATGCCGGAAATAATGGTGATGAAACCGAAACTAATTCTGATGCAAAGCAAGCTGACAGTGGGGGAGTAGTGCAGCTGTTACAGCAGAAAATCAAGGAAACCCAACACCAAGTGAAATAAAACCCCAAAAGGAGGTTGATAGTTTAAGACCTGACAATGAAGCAAAAGTAGTTGACGGAGTCCCAGACAGTGATGAAACAAAAGTGAATGGAATAAGAACTATAGACTCAACAGAAAAGACAGAGAAAAGTTTGAGTATGCCTGAAAAAACAGGGGAATTGGTTGAGAAACATAGTAGTGTTAATGGTAAGAAAACCAGGAGAACAGTGATGAGTGCAATGATAGAGATAAGAGTGAAGTGGATGCAGTAAATGATAAAGAGGAAGTAGTAAGGAAAAAACTAAATCAGAATCATTTGAGAATGAAAGAGAAAAGTTTGACAAATGACAAAGATGAGGAGAAAGAAAATACTGAGGAGAAAAATGATACAGAAAATGTCAGCAAGTCAGAAACTGCCGACAGCTTAGAAAAAAAAGAGGAGGCAAGGGAGGATGAGGAATCATCAATAAAAGAGGAAGAGAAAAGGGACAGTGAAAGTGAAGAGGAAGATGAAGAATCCAAACCAGTTAAAAGAGGCCGGGGCAGGCCTTCTCGGCACTCACAAAAAACGTCCGAAAGGCAGAGGAAGGCCAGTGAAGGAAGGCGGCTGATCAGGAGGCCCAAGGTAGTGATGCTGAAAATGAAGAAAAAGGAAGGAGAAGCAGACAATGATGGAGAGGAGGATGAAGACAAATCACCAAGTAAAAAGAGAAGACAACGAGGGAAAGGCAGCACTGCACGACCATTGCCTGATGGTAAGTTGCGTCTTCCTCCTTTTTCTTTTGCTTTCTCTTGACTTGAGGCTTAACCATTGTATAGTGGATTCAGAGCTTAACTAATGGAATGGCAGTGCATATTTTTTTTTTTTTTTTTTTTTTTTTTTTTTTTTTTTTTTTTTTTTTTTTTTATGCTGTCAAGCTGTGTTATTTATCAAGTAGTCAAAGAATAGTTATTAGATTTCAGAAAAAAATGATAGTATAAATTTTCAATGATTTGTAATTAAACAAAAAATCAGGAAGGAAAATGGGTTTGCATCTACCTCATGATGGCTGTATTTTGCTTGTTTACATATATGTATATGTATATATATATATGTATGTGTAAATATGTATTTATTTTATTTTATTTTATTTATTTATTTTTTATTTTATTTTTTTCACTCCCAATTTACTTCACTTAATAATGTTTTCATGTACTGCTGTGTGTGTGTATATATATAGAGAGAGATTTGTTTTCATTGTAATATTTCATTTTCAGGTTAGATAGCTAGATATGTGGATAAAGATATGATCTCAGGTAGATTTAGTGTGTGCACATTAGTTTGGCCATAAACATAGGGCTGCATACCCATCAAATTTTCCTTAAATACATCATTGAAATATTTATGCTCTCCAAACCTTTAGCAATTAAAGTTTCTAGGTATCACAATATGTGACTCCATATGCAGTGTGTCAGTTCATGGACATCATAATCAGTGTCAGTGATGAACATTCCACAGTCCATGGCATATGTTGTATATATTCAAGGCAATTGTTTAAGTAAAAGCTCAAGGATGATTTCTCATTTCTTGCTTCTGAGTGATTGATATCTGGTCTATCTTATTAAATGACACTGGACCAATGTGAGCATGAGTTCTACCATTGTTATCATTTAGCAGTGTGCAATTCATGTAGGCTTTGTGTGAAACATTCTGTTGAAGAATTGATATGTATCCTAGCTGAATAGAATAGTCTGGTAGATTCTCTTGAGGAACTTTAAAACATTTTCTTCTCCTTCTCCTTTGTTATGAAAATTATTTGTAATGTGAGTTTTTTTCTCTCACCTTCTTTCCTTTTTTGTGGCTTTATTTCATTACACATTCCTTAGTTTTGTTTTATATATTCCACCCCACTTTTTTATGCAGATATAAAAGACCCATATGTGATAGTGCATCTGCTTCATTTCTAGCCTGTAAGCAAAACATAGAGGAAGCCCCCCACCCCCCTTCATATGATCTGTCCTGCATTTATAGGAGTAAAATCATATTCAATAGGTTTCCTTGTATGTTTATTTTTTGTCCCTCTTTGGACCACTGACCCCAGGTTGTGTCCTTGACTTGCACACTATAAAGGCTGGGAGCTAAGCAGTCACAGTAGCTCCTCCCACCAAGCTTAGATCACAGGACCAAGTAAGGGCTCATCAAGGAGGAGTCCACCAGTTGCTTTTGATCCATAGCAGTGTAAAAGTCCTCCACAAGGGGGAAGGAACTGCATGTATGCATGATAACTTTAAGTGCAAAATTAATTTTTATTGTTGATATATTCAGTATTGTTTAGTGTTTGTTTTTATTATTATTATTATTATTGTAACTAGTAGTATTTAAAGTATTTATTTAGAAGCAAGATCATTTCAAAGGTAAGTGCAAGTAATACGAAAGAAATGTTTGGATATTTTTTTCTATTATTCACAGATGGGCTAGTCAGGAAAGATTTATTATCAGTTAGTTACATGAAGAGTATTGTATGGACAGCACCCAGGTGACTCAGATGCAAGCATTGAAGGAGAAATAGGGATTTTCTCACAGAGTATTACATTTTCACTCATAATACAATATATTGCTGCAAGTAATAGAAAGTGTGCAGCCATAGTTTGATATTTTAGTCTAATATTAGACAGGAAATTTTTTAAAAGTTACCGAAAACATTCCTCTTGGTATGAAGATTAAAATATAAATTTCAATTCCTTGCAGTTCCTAGACAAAGGTCAGCACGCATTGCTAAGATAAGAGAGAAAGAGGAAATGGAGAGAAGAGAGCTGGAAGCTCAACGAATGAAACAGCTGGCAGAAGAAAATCGGCTGAAGGAGCTCAAGAGGAAAGCCAGAGAAGAGAGACGAGTAAGATGGAAGCTCCTCAATTTACTATTTAAAGCTTTTGTTTTCTAATGAGCATTTGAATATGAAAAGTAATAGCTAGACACTTGAGCAGAGTTTTTTAAAGATTTAAATAATTCTTTCATTCCAGTCACTAAGGGAACTGAAGAAAGGAAGGCGGGAAAGGAAAGAGAAAAAGGTAAGGTATTTGGTTAAAGAATCCAGTTCGCCATATTGCATGAATAACCTTTGATTAGAAGTAGTAAATAATAATGTATGCTGCACCAAGATGCAGTATATAATATATATAAATATATATTTATATTATGATTCATTGGAAAAGTTCTGTAATATCTGTTTTCTCTTCTGCTTTTTTAGAGCTATAATAGAGTTATAAAAGCACTAACATTAACTTTAGGCTCACTGACTTTTATAATATTCAATTAACAAGAATGTATGATTTCCCAAACAGGATAGAGAAAAAAAGAAAAAGAAAAAGAAAAAGCGGGGAAAGAAGAAAAGAGCTCATCCAAATGATCCATGGGAAAACTCCTCAACTTCATCCAGGTAGATTTGTGTATTTTAATGTTACTCAGGATAGCTGATAACTGTTAGGATTACCTTACTCATCTGCAAGTTTGTGTCCTCTCAGCAAGGCTTTTACTTTTTAAGATTTTCTCCTCCTCCTCCTCCTCTTCCTCTGTTCTCCCCATTTATAAGGAGAAAAGATAGGGAGAGATGTATATGTGTGTATATGTATATACATGTACATGTTCTTGACTAATATTTCTATTTAGTTTCTCATTCTTTATGGTTCATTGCACAAGTTCTACAAAGTTGTATTTAGTATGTAACCTGCAATTCCTATCATTCTCTGTGGCTTTCACATAGGGTTGTTTATGATGAGTAAGCAATTGCAGATGTCAAAATGCAGTATATTTATGTTTTTATCTTTCTGATATAAAATGACCAAATTTGACAAAATCCCTTCACAATGCTTTGAGTATGTCTTTTTAATACCAGTGTTTTTTATTTTGATTATGTGTAGTTCAAGTACTGAGGAAGAAGAAGAATATGACCTAGAAGATGAAGAAGATGAAAATCTTGTGTTCAAGAGTGACCACGAGTTTTCTCCAGAATCAGATGTCGAAGAAGCTGATGCTCAGCCAATTAAAAGAGCAAGAACAGCAAAGAAAGGTATGCAGACAGCTTTCATTGATAATTGGAATTCCTCTGCTTTTGCTTGATCAGAAGTATAGATATATCCTTTTTAAGAAACTTTTGGCCATTTTCTAATTAACCCATTCGTCCCGGGTGTCACATATATGAGACACAGGGAAAAAATAAACAGTGTCGGGCTGCCCGCCAGTGCGATGCTGTCTCGGAGCCGCGCTCCAAGCAAGCGCGCGCGCGGCGGTCTGGGCGGACAGACTCCGGGGAAGCTCCGCCCGCCGATTTTGTAGCTGCCCGGATTTTTTTAATTTTGGCTACAAAATGTACCCGGCGCGAGTGGGTTAATACCTCTGTCAGTTGACTTTCTTTATTCTTATCTCTCTTCTACAAATTTCAGTCACAAGTGAAAGTGAAGTTGAGGACCAACCAGAGGAGGAAGAAGAGGAAGAAGAGGATGAGGAGGAAGACCAAACCCAATGTACAAAATGTGGCCATGATGATCATCCCGAGACCATCTTACTCTGTGACAACTGTGACGCAGGCTGGCATCTTTCCTGTCTCCGCCCACCTCTTCTTAGTGTTCCTGAAGGGGACTGGATTTGCCCTTCTTGTGAACATGTAATTATATTTTTGCTTGTTTTAAGATGACAGGGTTAATTCTGATTCTTTCTTATTTTCTTTCTTTTCATTTTCTTTTCTCTTTTTTTTTCTCTTTTTTCTTTTCTTTCTTTCTTTTTTCTTCCCTATATACTAAAGAAAGCTTTTAAATCAGAGGTTCATTTAATTTTGGTGGTAGAGTGCATTGTAGTGGTGTAAAGGTTTCTTAGTGAGAATTAATTGATGGTACTTCTCTCTCAGGTTCTGCTCGTCAGCAAGCTGAAAAACCTCCTAAATGAGTTTGATGAGTGCCAGAAACGGGCTCACAATGAAGAATTAAGAAGACAGAGACTTGCATATGTCAGTGTTTCAATGTCTAATGTCCTGCCTGAAGAGAAGAAGAAAAAGAAGAAGCGGGCAGAGGATGGGGAAGATGATGACGATGACGATGATGAGTCTGGAAGCGAATCAGATTCAGATGTAAGAAAATTTTGTTTGTTTGTTTGTTAATAACTATTGATTTCATTTTTTAAATATTTTTTTACTCTTTTTAGTAAGATAACTACATATTGCAATTATTAATATATTGATTTCAAAATTATAAGACTTGTGAGTCAATAATACTGTTGTCCAGCAGGAATCAGACAGTGAAAGTGATGATGACAGTAGTTCATCTAGTGAGAGTTCATCAGGATCCTCAGCACCTTTACACTCTAAGAGCTCGCAGTGCTCGAACCTTAAGGAACAGGTTGAGGACTTTGATGAAATGATAAATGAAGCCATCAGTAAGTAAATGAATTGAGTCCTTAAAGAACATTTGCTAATTGAGTTGATAGTTTTAGGTATTTGAAATAATATACCCTTTCTTGTTTTAAAAGGATTCTTTGTTTATTATTATTTTTATTAGTACAATAAACTAGACAGGCAATGATGCAGAATACATCCATGTTCATTTATATTAATTTGGGTGAAAACCTGTTTCCACAGGATGAAATGGAAGCAGCAGCAGGAGCGGGGAATGCGGGCAGAGGTAAAGACATTGACAACATCATCCAAGCAAACGATGAAGAGATGATGGAAACTGAAGAAGCGGCCATGGAGGAAGAAGTGAAAGATGAAGCTGATTGGGAAGGTAAAGAATGTGGATGGCCATGGAAAGTTGAAAGAGGGGGGAAGATGAGGAAAACGAGAATGAGGAAGAAAAGCAAGATGAAGAGGAAGATGGAGAAGAAGATAAGCTGAAGGAAGAAGAAAGATGAGGATGAGGACGATGTTGCTCCTAAGAGAAAGAAGCCCAAACCACCACCATCAGAACATGATGGTAGTGGCAATGATGAGGACTATCATGAGAGTGATGAGGTAAGTATAACCAAGGTTTGATGTTTAAAGTTTGTATTTCCTTATTTAATTGCCTACTAGGATTAGTTATTACTTTGACTTTATATTTTTCCATTTACTATCTTATTACTATTTTTTTCTTGTAGATTTATATTATTGTTTCCTCTTAACTTTTTCAGCAAAATGAAGAGGATTCAGACTCAGATGACATGAAAAATATTAGAAAACGTGGGAGGAAGATGTCAAACTTAGTAGTAAAGAAGAAGCGACGGCTAACAGACTTAGATGCTGTGGATGAAGATGATGCCAGTGATGAAGACTTCATAAATACAAGGTCAGACTCTTGGAAAATATCACTTCAGCTTACAAAGCATGTATATGTACTTGTGGTTGTGAATTTGGGTTGATATTTACTTCAAAACTTTCATTGATTCCTATACATCATTGGTTACCTATCATTTTACAGTTTGTACAGAGGTTTCAGTTACTTTCTCTTGTGTGTTTCCGTTAAACACTCTAGGCTCAATTCTCTTTAAGCATTTTTCCACAATTTTTTCTTATTTGATTAACACAGGAATATTTAATGGAGCAGGTAGTCACTCTGTATTGTAGGGCATAATTCAGATTTTATACATTTTATAATGAAGTCATATTTTTTTAATATAACCAGTGAGGAGGAGGAGGAGGAGACTGAGGAGTCAGTGGAATCATCATCATCATTGGCAACGGAGGTGGAGAGTGATGACTCAGATGTTGTCGGTTCAAAGAGAAGACGTAGCAGTAGATGGGAGAACTTGCCACTACGTCGTTCTGCCCGTAATCGACGAGGTGGAGATGATTATGGTATGGATTCTTCTTCTTTTTCACTTTCATTATCTGTACATTGTAACAGTTTCATTTTAATTGAACTGGTTTGATAGTAGTAAGTAGACAGTAAATCATCTACTATATATTTATGTTTCCTGTACTTTATAGTTTATTGTTAAGAGATAGAGATTGTAAATATAAATGATACCAATTGTCTTTTATTATCAATAAACAGATAGTGAAATGGATGAAAGAGTTTCTAAAAAAGAAGAATAAGAAGAAGAAGAGACGAAAACAGAGTTCCAGTGAAGAAGATGAGGACGAACTTAGTTCAGACAGTGACAGAAGTTATAGAAGGAGAAAGAAAGTGTAAGTTGCATAAATCAAGTTTTCTTCAAAAATGCATTTTAAAAATGATGTGTAAATATCAGTTCTTAACAGTGTAAAAGTATACCTAATTGAAAAATCTACATTAACATCAATATAGACAGTTTCCTGTCATAATTAATCATGCATCCAGATAGAAACAGTAATACACTAGCCAGTTGGATTGCATTTGAAAATGCCAGATTATATACATCCAAGTGTTAATAGGAAATTATGCTCACATGTTTTAATTTTGTATCCTTACTTTTGCTGAAAAATATTTTTTACATTTAAAAACAGAAGGAAAGACCCCAGCCTAAAGTCAAAGGTCGCAGAGGTTCAAATAAAGCCAGAGGTGGAAAGAAAAATGCAAAATCCAAACAAAAACAGAAAGCTAAAAACCCCGCAGGAGATGATAAAGAAAAGAAACCGAAAGTAAGTGTCTGCCATTATTGTTTAACTTTTGTGTGTATTTGTTTATGTTTATGGTTCTGCCTAATGTTTCTTTTTTAATGTAATTTAGCAATATTTTCTGTTTAATTCAGTATGATTCATAATTAATGAAAATTGCTGTGTATAGGATTTCCTGTTTATATCATTATATATATTTTTTATATTATGTGTAAGTAAAATTTGTTAGTTGTAAAATTAAAGGCACAAAACTCTCTACAGATAAAGTACTCAAAGCCACCCAAGCCAAAAGACGAAGATCAAGAAGAAGAAACTCTTGCCCAGCGAAGAGTGACAAGAGGACGGCAAGTTAACTACTATGATGCTCTCCTAATGTCAGATGAAACAGAAGAGGAAGAGGTGGGTACCAAGGTAGATTTTCATGATTTTGTTCATTGAAAAATGAATGAATGAGTGAGAGAGACTGAAAGGACATTGTATTGGAATGAAAAGGTTCAGATATGTGGGTGTCCGTAACAGATTCACACCACCACCACTACTACAGATCCTAACCACTCCTTTTACTTGATGTCCTGAAATAAATGTTACATTTATTGATAAGAAATGGCCTTGATTACTTTTCTTTGTTTTTAAATCTGGTTCATTGTATTCAGTGCAGTTGATGATTAAACTTTTGTTTTTTATTACAGCCCCAAAAGAAATGGAGAGGGAAGGTGATGAAAGGAGAACGAGTTCCAACAGAGAGCAGTGAATATGAAGCTTCCGACGATGAAAGAATGAAACGCCGAGGAGTCAGTGGTGGTCTTGGACGGGGCAAAGTCATGAAAGGGGAAGAAGAGGGTGAGTTACAGCTTTCTATTACAAGGCTGTTGAACAGTTTTCTCTTTCCGTCTTTCTTTTTAGTATCTTTATTTTTCATCATCATATGACACATCATCATTATTATTGTTTATTATTGCTGTGATTCTTGTCAGAATTATAATTATGAGAATAAGGATGATGTTGGTATTCTCATTTCTGAGTGAATGTCAAAGCTATCTATATGAAAATCATAACTTTAATTCTGTTATCTTTTTTATTATTATTATCATCATCATCATCAACCTGAAGGTCCATTTAAGAGGTTGATAAAAAAAGAGTAAATACAAAATGTCTGAATAATGTCATTGCATTTTGAATAAATATCAAAACCAACGTGTGAATCAGTCATCAGTCAAATGCATTTCAGCCCCTGTAAAAGAAAAAGGAAAAGGAAATAAAGTGGAGATTGCTAAAGAAAAAATTTAGTTGGCATTGAATTTAAATACAGCTCTTTAATTAATCAAATTTTGTTGAAGAGAATAAGTCAAAAAATAAAGTTTTCTCACTTTTATTCCGGGTGAAGAGAATAAGTCAAAAATTTTAAATTTTCCACTTTCTTTTATTCCAGATGAGGAGAATAAGTCAAATAAAGGGAAAAAGAAAAGAGGTCGACCAAAGAAGGATGAATTAATTGGAAAGCCTTCTCCGACAAGACCATCCACGATCCAACCTACACCAATTACCACCATAGCATCAGCAACATTGGTACCTACTGCAGCAGCAGTACCGTCTACTCCTGCAGTTCCAGCTGTTCCAGCGGTTCCAGCTGTCCCAAGTGTACCATCTATACCATCTGTACCTGCTGCACCTGCTGCTGCCTCTCCTGTTCACCACACTCCAGAACCTGTGGCATCTGGCACCCCACCTCCTAC